GCCATTTCTCCCCACTGGATATTGCTTTCCTTTATACATAGCTTATTAGCTAGTACTTAAAAATAAAAAGGCCTGGGGTACAGCTCAGTGATAGAGAGCTTGGCTGAGATGCATGGGGCCTTGGCTTTGAGCCCCAGTACCACAAAGGAATAAATTTTAAAATAACAAAATGTAAGCCGGGTGTGGTGGTGCATGCCTGTCATCCCAGCACTCGGGAGGCTGAGGCAGGAGGATCACTGTGAGTTCGAGACCAGCCTGGGCTACATAGTGAGTTCCAGGTCAGCCTCAACTACATAGTAAGACCCTGTCTCAAAAACCAAAAACAAACAAACAAATAATAAAATGTAAAAATTGATAGTGCATGCTTATCCAACCACAGCCACAGTAAATTCCCTGCTTACAAACTACTACAATATAATCCCAGCACTTGGGAGGCTGAGGCAGGAGGATTTCTGTGAGTTCCAGGCCAGCCTGGGCTACATAGTGAATTCAACCTGAACTACAGTGAGACGCTCCCTCAAAAACCATTGTTACAATAAATAGTTGATGTCATTAATAATGCAAAGAACTTATATTTCAATGAGAAACATGCAGTTTTAAAAAGGGCAGCCAGCCCATAAACCTAGCACTTGGGAGGCAGAGGCAGGAGGATCCCAAATTGTAGTCCTACCTGGGCAATTTAGCGAGACCTTGTCTCAAAAAATTAAAAAATGGAGTCACGGATTTAGCTCAGTAGTGGCACACCTGCCTTGCAAGTATAGGGTCGTGAGTTCCATCCCCTTTACCAAAAAAAAACCCCAAAACAAAAAATTAAAAATAAGCTGGGGACATAGCTTAGTGCAAAGGCCCTGGGTTCAACTCCAGTTCCATGGTGGTGGTGGGGGCAATAAATGTCTTTTCACCTACCAGACTGTTAAAGACTAAAGGTAAGAGGGCTGGGGATTTAGCTCAGTGGCACCGCTCCTGCCTCACAAGTGTAAGGTCCTGAGTTTGATCCCCGGTACTGCCAAAAAAAAAAAAAAAAAAAAAAAAAAAAAAAAAAAAAAAGATTAAAAGTAAGAGTTTCAGAGCAGGTAGAATCAATCTCCTTCACTTAAGATTCAAATTTACAGTCTTACTAAGAGCAATTTGGCAACATGTTAAACTTTTAAATGTACAGTTTAAGTCGTCAGTTCCACTTCTAGCAGTTTAATCCCACAGAAATACAAGTGCACAAATACTTGCCCAAGGATGTGGTCATTCAGCGCCTTTAAAGTAATGAAAAATTGGAAACCCTCCTGGGCACCTATAGCTAGCATCTTTATCCATCTGGAAGCCTAAAGTTCTGTGCACAATATGCCTTTCTTGTAAAAAGCTTCCCCTGCATACCCATCAACAGATGCTAAGTTCAATGCACACGTATCCAATTGCGTGCATCCCATACCCTACTAATTTGTTTCTCAGGTAAGCAGCAATAATTTTCAAGTGGGACCCTTCTCCTGGGTAGCAGCTTTGGGTGACAGCCGCCCTCTGTCTTGGCAGCCACGTGTAGGCTTGTGTCTTGGAGAATTACAAAGAACTTCAGGGGCTGGAGATTTAGCTCAGTGGTTCCACTGCAGCCTGCCTCGCAAGCGCAAGGTCCCGAGTTCGATCCCCGGTGCCAGAGCTGAAGCACTTAGGCCATCAAGCCCTTTAAATGTTGATGGTGCCCATGCGGGCAGGGAAAGAGGGCGCTGTGATTCTTAGCCCCTTCCCCGCCTGACTTGGCTCCCACCTGCTGGCTGGCTTTCAAGCCTTCCCTCCAGAAAGGAGGCTGAATCTGAGGACATGAGGGAAGACCCCAAGATGCCGGCAGCAGAAGTGACCAGTAAGTGACCTAATCAGGTCACCCCCAGCAAAGTGCCTGGCTAGAACCCTACTCGTAGTCAGGAGCTAATTATTCTTCAACACAGGCAGACAACCGGGGATCCCAGGCATCTGGGGAAGCCGGAAACAGGGTTGGCAGGCAAACCAGGACTGAGACGTTAAGAAGTTTAAAAAAATTTTTTTAAATTTTCTAAAGGGGTTGTATAAAACAAGAAAACCAAAGAATATACAGCAGAGACCCTATGAGCGCCAGAAGTCCTAAAAATACCCCCTAGCCCTTCACAGAAAAAGCTTGCCAACCCACTGAGACATGGAAACTAGACACCTTGGAACGATAACATCAAATGAAAGAAGTACAGTCTGTACTTTAAGGAACCATTTAAAAAGAATTCCCAGAGAACAGAGGGAAATAGAAGAATCACAAAGTAAAGTTGGGGAAAATCCCTTAGAAAGTAGAAGAAGAAGAAAGGAAAACCCAAAGACAAGAGCAATGTGTAGCCCGTGCAGAGGCTCACCAAACAAACAAGCTCTAGGAAGTGGAGTGCAGAGAGAAAAGTAGCATCAATGGGCCCACTGAAGAGTCCAGCCCGGAAGTGAGGGATCCGAGCCTGCAATTCCAGCGCCCGGAGGGCTGGCGCAGGAGGGACGCAAGTTTAAGCCCAGCGTGAAGGCCCTGGGTTCAAACCTGTACCACAAGCGGGGGAAAAGTCTCCCCGGACTGTAGATTTTATTTGACTGTTTCCACAGCTAAAAGCCTAAGTGTTCAGTTTAATGTGAAAAGGGTCCACACCAAGGTCATCACTTGGAACTTTCAGAATATTGACAGAGGCCTGAAAGCTCTCAGAGGGGACCGATGATGCGGTTCTGTGGCAGAGAACTTGCTCTGCATACGCAAAGCCCTGGCTTTCATCTGCAGCCCCGTCACCAAAACCAAGTTTTCAGAAAAGCAAAGCATGAAAGTTCAGGCACCAGCTCTGTGGTGCTGTACTCCTGTAATTGCAGCTACTTGGAGTCTGAGGCAGAGGGATTGATTCCAAGTTTGAAGCCAGGCTGGGCAACTTATGGGGACCCTTTCTAAAAGTAAAAACAGGTCTGGGGATACAACTCAGTGCAAGGACCTGGGTTCAAATCCCAATGCCAAAAAACCGAAAACCTCTTAAAATACGAGGATGGAACAGACATTTTAAGCAAAAGTCTTGAGCCGAGCATGGTGGCACACACCTATAATCCCAGCACTCAGGAGGCTGAGGCACGACGATTACCCTAAATTCAAGGCCAGCCTGAACTACACAGGGAGACTGTTTTAAAAAAATAAAAAAGGAAAATAAAGCCGTAAGGTCTTCAAGGTCTTAAAAGCCCTCATCCCCCCCCATCCTGGAGGATGTACCACTAAATGGAGGGAAAATGTGGGGCTGGAAATGAGGCACCACACAGATAAGGCAGAGAACCCTGTGGGTGGCGCTGAAGGCCCAGGATGCTGTGCCCTCTGGAAACCAGTGTGCAGGTCCAGGCAATCAGGTGTTACCCTGGGCCGTGTCCTCTCCTGAACTTGAGTAGACCGCCTGCCTTCCGACGACCAGATTACCGTGTTGGTTGTGTTCAAATCCCCGCTTTTCCTCCTTGCTCGCTGTGTAGGAAACTCAGTTCAATCTCAAACAAGTGCTGTCACCTGGAAATGGAGCACCTTTCCCCTCCAGGGCTCCCGCGGGTCCCTGGTTACTTGCCTCACTCTTACCACCTGTACTGGTCATTCGCAGTCGTGAGATGCAGTGCCCAACACCTACAACTTGAGGTTTAACTCGGTTCGTGGCTCCCGGGGTTTCTGTCCAGTGGAGGGCTCCGAACATCATGGCAGAGGACCAGCAGGGGAGCAGCAACCTGCGAAGGCGTGGGACCGGACAGACGGGTCACCCCTCCTGCTTCCTGGGGCCCCGTCCCGACCCACTCAGAAGGGGCTCCTTGCTCTCTGGGGAGCTACAGGACAACCAGGTGCTCCTGTTTCTTCTTGCACCCTTCGCAGAGGAGGCAGCACTGCCCGCTTTATGGGTTTGTGCTTGCTACTCAACTTTTACATGGATCTGTTTAACCCACTACTGAGGGTAGAGTTGTTCGAAAAATGAAGCATCTTTTCTAAATGTAACCACTCATTCACTTAGTGGCTTCTTTTTTTGAGACATGGTCTCACTCTGTAGCCAAGTTTGGCCTTGAACTCACAGCAGTCCTACTGCCTCAGCCTCCTCAGTGCTGGGATGACAGGTATGCGCCATCACACCCTGAAATTTAGTGGCTTTTAAAAGCTAGGAGTGATTAGCTGGGCGTGGTGGTGCACACCTGTCATCCCAGCACTCGGGAGGCTGAGGCAGGAGGATCGCTGTGAGTTTCAGACCAGCCTGGGCTACATAGGGAGACGCTGTCTCAACAAGCAAAAAAAACAAAAAAAAAGTTCGGAGTGATATATATATCAGCTATTGAGAATAGAATTCTATTATTGTATATTTCCTGGAAGTTGTATATTACTTTTACAATAAAAAATATTAAGCACCTTAAATACAAAAAAAAAAAAAAGCTGACATGTTGGCATAACCAACTTGGTGTATGCAATCAGTTCAAGCACCCATTCTTTTTTTTTGGTACCGGGGATTGAACTCAGGTCCTTGCGCTTGCAAGGCAGGCCGCCGAACCGCGGAGCTACATCCCCAGCCCAAGCATCCATTCTTAATGGTTAACTAAAGGGAACTATAATCCATAAATGTTCTTTGTGTGTAAAAAAGGCATTAAAAAATTCATGTAAATGAAGTATATCCCTGGAATTCTGTATTTTATATTTAAGAAACGGCAGTGTGCCAAGGGTGTAGCTCAGCAGTGCCGCGACTGCCCGGCAAGTGCAAGGTCCTGAGTTTGACCCCAGGTACCAGAAAAGAAAAAGAAATGGCAAATGCATCTAGTGGCATTTTTACTTCGTTTTGTTGCAAAAGAATGAAACCCCAGAAGCTCGGCTTTTTAACGTTGTAGAGAACTATAAAATCAGGAAAGCTTCCTGAATTATCTTCCACTAAAAATTTTAATAATAGCATGTTAATGTTTTAAAATGTTTTTAACATCATCTCATTTGGAAAATTACAACTACAGTCCTTATATAATAAAGAACAAACTGATTTTTTTATTGTAAGTTGTTTATTGTAAGGTAATTTATAAACATCTTGTTGTCTTTAGTAATTCAAACAGTGGATCACTCTTCTGATGACAGCAGTAAGCTAAAAAGAATCAGCTTGAATATTCCTTTTTTACCTGAAAAGCAAAAAACAGAACAAGTAAAAATCACACTATATTTTTTGGGGGAGAAAATAATATTAAGAGGTAACAATTTTAATGGGGTATAAAGAACTAAATTTACATAATAAAATAAAATGCTCCAGGAGCTCTCGGATTTTGTCCTGTGGGGCTTTCATGGGTTCACTAGAATAATATTTGTCTGCTTATTCTCATTGTATTCACAGAGTATACAATTATTTTCCGAGGGTCTATGACATCACAAGAAAATGAGGTCATAAATAGATGAGAATCTTCTGTTAGACATTTAGGGGTTTTGAGACCATTCAGTTTGAGAACCGACTTCACTGACCTATATTTAATATCTCAAAATAATGCTAATTCTCTATCCTTGAAACTCATTTCCTACATCTATATTTTCTACAACCAATATATTTAATAGTGTACAAAAGTACTAGTATCGCCCATCTGCACCCACAAACTGGCTGCTGCTATAAACTGGCCTGCTGATCTAAAATCTCTGAGAAGCAGTTTCATTATTGCTAAATTAGCTTCAATTATTTGGCTAGGTTTCCTTTTTGAAAGAGAATGGGAAAAGGGACTGAACTTTACCTCTTGTCTGAGGACGGAACTCGATTTTCATTAATCCCTGGTTATTGTATTAGAAAAAGACAAGCACAAAACAAGCAGGTCAAGAAGCATCCCATGCTAGTTCACCACAGTCGTTGCTACAGATGCTACCTTGAGTATATCATATACTTAACCAAAACATTCCTTTAAAAGCAACTCAGTGACATAAGTTAATAGATTCCAGTCTGGTTAGAAGCAATAAAAATATGTTCGTGCAAATAGTTAAGACTGAAGATACAATTTAAAGCACTACTTTTTCAATAAGGAGCATATATTAAAAAATTTTAAACTGGTAGCATTTACTTGTTACCTCAAACATTATGATTAGTCATGCCTTTAATTTTATTACTAAATACTTGTATGTATCTGCATTAAATATTAAAGCTTCAAACCATAAAAACAAAGAGGTTACAAAGCACACAATCCACTCACATAAATAATCCGACCTTGGACTGCAAAACTTATTTATTTATTTATGTATTTTTGGTACCGGGATCGAACTTAGGACCTTGAGCTTGCAAGGCAGGCAGCAGAACCACGGAGATAAATCCCCGGTCCTAAAACTTAGCTTCTAAAATAAGGAGGTAGACTATCTTCTAGACAGCGGAAATTTCATAGGTAATTTTCCGTTGTTTGGATTCATTTTTCTAAATTCGTAGCTTGATGTTCCCATCCCCTTCTCATTTTCCTTCATCTGTGACTTTTAGTAAGGCTCCCGCATTCCTAATCATAAAAGAGGAGCCTGGTCCTGCATTTTACCGAAGTTGTGATCTATAGTTGAAACCTAACATTCCTTTGGCAAAAGCCAAAAAGAGCTTTGAATTCTCAGGATTCCACAGCCTCTGGGCCTTCAGAATGCAGCTCCTCCCCTGGGCCTTCTCAAACTTAGCATCCAAGAAGAAATCAGCCTAGCAGCAGCCAGGACTCACAGCAACGAGAATGAGTAATGGATCCTTGTATTGGTTCTCATTTATGGGTGACAAAGCTGAGTCACAGGGTGTCAACTGAGTTTATCATGCTGGGTATCACAAGACTATTCTATGATGCCAACAGAACGCTTGTGCCAGGGCCAAGAGATGGGAGTGTCACTAAGAAAACCATGCTGAGGAAGCAAAGTAAGAGAAGGGAGAATGAATGCTTAGGATCACAGAGCTGATACAGTCAAACAGCAACTTATACAGTAATCTCCAGTGGCTCAATTAGTTCTTTTTGGTACCGGGGATTGAACTTGGGTCCTTGCGCTTGCAAGGCAGGCAGTGGAACCACTGAGCTACATCCCCGGCCCTCCATTAGTTTTAGAACATGATCCTTCCTACTCTAGCCTCAAGCACATGGACAGATCAAAAGGCCCTTCCTGACCTAATGTCAGAAGTGTGAGGATAAGAAGCTGCTTGGGATAAAGGGTGCTGCACTCACGGAGTGTCTTCTAAAGACAGGGTTCCCCTTGCCAGTTAGGAAAGGTAAATAGAGACTCTCAGGTGAACAATCAAACCAACAGGAAGGACAAAATGGCATAAACTCGCTGTGGTGGCACACAGTTGAAATCGCAGCACTTTGGGAGGCTGAGGCCAGGAGGGTTCCAGTTTGAGTCCAGCCTGGGCAATTTAGTGACTTAGCAGGATCAAAAAAAAATAAAAAAAAAGACTGGAGATGTAGCCCATTTTGAAGTCCCGGGCCATCTCCTTGGAGATGAGAGAAGAAAAGAGCAAGATATATTTGAAGACCTCAAAATAGATGAAGTGGCTGAGGTTCAAGCAAGAAATGGTAAGGGATTAGACTGGAAAGAGCACTGATAGCCAGAAAATATATGATCACAGCTATCAAGCTAGGCTGTTCCTGCAGACTCATCGTATCCCACAGAATGAGTTCTATTTTCCTCACAATATGTTCTCAAAGAGCAAAATTGTTTTTTCTGTGAAAGGCCAGATAGTAAATATTTCAGACCCATGGGTCACATGCTGTCTGCCCCCTTCCCTACTTTAATAACCTTTTAAAATGTAGCTCTGCTCCAGTTTGCTAACCTCTGCTTTCTGCTGTAATTTCTTATTTAGTATCTTCTCTGTCTGCTCTGTTAAGCTCCCTGATGGCAAAGACTGTCAGCATTATAGCGTCAGTATCTAGTACATGGCCTTGCACTTAAGAGGCACTCAAAACTGAAAACAAAAAAAAACAAAAAACAAAAACAACCCAAACATCTTTTTGCTAGGTGTGGTGGCACATGGCTGTAGTCCCAGCTATGGGGGAGGCTGAAACAGGAGGATTGCTTGAGTATAGGAGTTTATTGTTTTTGTTTTTTGTTTTTTTGGTACTGGGGATTGAACTCGGGTCCTTGTGCTTGTGAGGCAGGCAGCAGAACCACTGAGCTAAATCCCCAGCCTAAAGTCTAGGAGTTTAGAAGCAATCTGGACCATGTGGCAAGAGTCTGTCTCAAAACAAAACAAAAACCCCCTCAAAACAACTCTTTTCTTCTAGAAGTTGGTGATCACTTTATAGGAGGTAACATGGAATGAATCAAAGATAAACTCACTATACATTTTATCTTTCATCACAATAATCATTTTCTCACCCTATTAAAAAAAAAATGTCCTGAGAGAACCAAATCCTAAACACTGCCTAGCATTGTATTTTGCACATATATTGTCACTTTAATAATTTTCTGAATAAAATTTGCATGATGTTACCCTTTGTTTCACAAACATCAACATGTCTTCACAATCATGACATTTTCTTGAGGAACACAGTGTGCTATGTATGGCTCTGATGTAGGAAAAATAATTTTAAAAATTTCCGGACCATTGAAACCAAATGCAAAACTAGTCCTGAAATTCAGACAGCTTGGCCGGCAACACTTTAAATTCCAAAGACAGAGCTTACAAATGGTACTGAATTATTCAATCTTTACTCCTAACAGTTTAGGAAAGTGAGAGCTAATAATATACTGATTTCTAAATTGAAGAAAGTAAGCCTGAGAAACAATCCAAATAAAACAGAGAGCCTAAAGAGTCAAAATTCAGCAATGAATCCTTTTCATTTTAATGGACAAAAAAAAAAAAAAAAAAGAGTAAACACTTTCACGCCAAGGTTAAGCAGATGAGGAGAGGAGAGAGCGCCCGAGGGAACAATCTGCAGTTACTTACAGAGCTGCTGCGCCAGAGATGATCTCAATCAGCTCTTTGGTGATGACAGCCTGTCGAGTGCGGTTGAATGTCAAAGTCAACTTATCAATCATCTCAGCTGCGAACAGGACAGAAAGACTGAATGACAAACCCCAAAGCAGAGAGGAGTAACCAATCAATCCCTAGTTGCTTTAACTGAAAACTAAGAGCTGGGAACAGCCATGCACATCTGTAATCCTGGCACTCCAGAAGGCTGAGACAGAAGGGTGGCAAGTTTGAGCCCACCCCGGGGAACTTCGTAAGATCTGTCTCAGAAGAAAAATCGTAGGCCAAGGGCTGGGGATGTAGCTCAGGGGCACCGCGCCTGCCCAGCAAGAGCAAGGTCCTGAGTTCGATCCCTAATAACAAAACACCGCCACCACAAATAAATAAATAAATGAATGAACCAACGGATGAGAGAGAGAACAAAAACGGGAGCGGGGGAAGGACTGGGAATCTAGGTGAGTGCAAAGGCCCTGGGTCCAGTCAATCCCCAGCACTCCAGAGACGGGAGAGGAGGGAAGGAAGCTGTTTATGGATTCCGACATTACACATCTTCCACTGGACTACTTCTACATTACCTACAAGCCTACTTAGCACCCGAGAAGTAAGATGTGCTTCCCTCCGAGGCAAGAAACACCTCGTGAGCGTGTCTGCAGCTACGCGGCAAGGGCTCCGGTAAGCAGAGCTGCCCCGTGAGCGTCTGCTCGTCCTGCCAGGCCTGGTGCAGCCCCCGGCACAGGCCCGGGCGCGTCCACGCGGCCGCCCCACGCGCTTACAAGCGTTCTTGCTGGCGTTGTCCATGGCCGTCATCCTGGCGCTCTGCTCGCTGGTGGTGGACTCCTTCAGGGAGTAGTAGAGGACGTTGGCCAGGCTGTACTCCTGGTAATTCCGCAGCACGTCCGCGTCCACGTCATCGTAGACGCTCATGCTCTCTGTGAAGACGAGCGGCGGCGGGGCTCAGCGGACCAGAGGCCGATTTCACCAAAACACCTACTGCCTAAGGATCCCTAGAAGCTCTTGGAGAGCAGAGGCCATCTGAGTCAAACAGATCTGCTTAGCAGCTCCGTACTCGGCAGACTAATGTGACACCAGAACATCTGATCTTCTGCTTGAGATTCAATTTAACTGTTAAGAAGCCGAATTTACAACAGCTACAATCTCACGGTCGAGACACCCTCTGGACAGAATCTAGCAGCATTTGGCACAAAACCAGCAAGCACTCAATAAAACGCTTTTTGAAAAAAAATGGTGGCCTTCCGTTGGGTAAGAGGGGCACTGCAACGAAGACGTTAAAATGTAAAATATATATACACAAAACAGATAACACCTAGTATATACAACTGGAAAGAAACACTTCAAAAAAAGTAAGTTCCAGAATATTATTTTTAGGATGCTTCACTGAACGAAGATGACTTTATTCCAACAACAAACAAAGACTTGAATGGACCAGTGTAGATCCGTGGGGAACACTGTTCAAATCTCTACTCCAGGGCTTCTGACAGCACTGTACTCAGAGTCCACACAGACTCTAAAGCCGTTTCTAGCGAGGCACCCCAACCCCGGAAAGCAGGAAATACCCCTAAGGAGGCTCTTGGGAATGTGTTTGTTCAGCTCCTGAAGACACAGGGTAGCAGTTGTCAAACACTAAGTGGAATAAGGCATGGAAGTCACTCAGGCACGGTGCTCCTGAAACAGCCCCAAAAGGCAACAGGGCATCCGGACAAACAGTATTTTCTTTGAAGTACAAAATTTCTCCTTTCCAAATCCAAAAACACTTGTCACATAAAAGACACTTACCAGCACTTGCAATGGTATTAAGAGAAAAGATGGGTTTTTCTTCTGTCTTATAGGAGATGACAGACCTAGAAATGACAAAAGCAAGTATAAATCTCAAAATAGATATTTAAAACACAAACATAAAAGCACTTTGAATTCTGTTCTTGCCTGAATCGATTAAAGATGATAGAGCCTTCATCAAATTCATATCCAGAATTTAATAATTCAAGAGCAATGACGGATGCATCTCCAAAAGTAGGGGGCTTTCTTCCCACGTCCTTGAATGTCACCAGAAACTGGTCGGAATGAGTCCTAGGGATCACATAAACTGTTTTGGAATATTTGTGTTGAAAGAATATATAGAACAAGGAAAAAAAAATCAGAATAGGCCAGGTTTTGTTGCTGCGCAGACAGTCTCGCTATTTAGTTCAGGCTGGCCTGGAACACACGGAGCTCTTCCTGCCTCTGCCTCCCAAGTGCTAGGACAACAGGTATGCGCCACCACACCTGACTAGATCAAAGTTTTTGGAGAGATGTGGGCAGTGATGGTGCTTGAGTTAAATTATTCCACACATTATCATTATTCCTTCCCTTGAGCCAAGAACTAAGAACTAAAACTTTCACCTTTCTTATTTTATATTCTCTATATTTCTTTCCTTTTAATACCAAGGAACCATTGTTCCTTTCTAACATTTACAGGCTATGACAGCTCCTCAGATCCCTTGTTTGGCTTAATGCCTACAGCCATGGTTATTTCCATTGTATTCAATTACGCTGTGGATGAAAAAAAGGTAAAAAAAAAAAGTGGAGGAAACTATATACACCTTTTTTTTTTTTTGGTACCAGGGATTGAACTCGGGTCCTTGCGCTTGCAAGGCAGGCCACCGAACCGCTGAGCTAAATCCCCAGCCCCAATATACATTTTAATATATCCTGAAAAATATGAAAACAAAACCTTCTGTGAAAACAAAAAAGGTATTTGCTTAATATCAAAAGATACCTCCATTTACTCATGCCTGTGACCTTCTGAGTGCAAACATCTGTTTAACTCACCTGTAAAGTATGCCCCTGAGTTTATCACCAATGCCAACAAGCATGACCTCCTTTCCAGCTGCTGTGAGTGTTGCCACCTCACTTTTCATCTGTTTAGCAACCGAGGAATGAATAGCACCGCAAAGCCCTCGATCTGAGGACACACCTATTAGGAGGTGTTTCTTCTTGTCTTCAGGTACCTTAATATCAGCTTTTTCATACAGAGCTTAGGAACGAACAAAAAAGGGCAACAGTTTTTAAAATACGAAACTCATATTAAATACAGTAATAATCCCTAATTTACAAAACAGTGAGCTGTTTTCAAATGTGCATTTAAGTCTAGGTGGCACTTGACTAATGTAATCTAATGTCAGTACACTTACTGCTTACAACCAGGCAGAAAAACAGAAAGGTTTAAATTTCTATAACAAAGTTTCCAAAGGGTCCATCAATGGCCAATTTAAAAAAATGGTGACTAAAAAAAAGAAAAAGAAATTCCAGCCAGGTGTGGCAGCACAGATCCAAAATCCCACAAACCGGGGAGGCCAAGGCCTGAACTATAGTGAGACTTTCTAAAAAAAAAACCAAAAACACCAAATAAAACCAAATTGAAAGAAAAAAATTCCTAGCACAATTAAAAACTTATAAAGAGGTAGAATTACAGAGGTACCTACTTATCTAGATATCCATATATTGGACATCTATAGAATGTAAATTTCCAGCATACAACTAAAACAGAAGGAAACAGTATTTACTGAGCTGCTCATATAAACTGTGCATCAATTTATTAAGAAAAAACAAAACTGGCTGGGCGTGGTACTGCATGCTTATAATCCCAGAACCCCAGGAGGCCGAGGCAGAAGAATTTCAAGTTTGGCTTAGCCTGAGTAACCTCGCAGCTTAGCGAGTCCCTGTCTCCAAAAAAAAAAGGGGGCCAGTATGTACTTTAAAAACAGAACAAAACAGGGGTGATACAGAATAACTGCCAATTTATTTTCGGCATTACTTCACCATCTTTGTTGGTCTAGTCTTCCAAGAAGCAGAGGCAACAGAGTAAATGGGATTAAAAATACACGATCTTACTGGGTGAGATGCCTCTGAGAGAAACTGAGAGGAAGCCGAAACGGCAGACCTACCTCACACCACAGCGCACGCCTGCCCTGGGACAGGGAGCAGAGGGACGAGGGTGGAGAGCAGCTTCCCGGTCCGCTGTGCATTTGAGAAGCTCAGGAAGGCAGCTGGGCAGGCCCCGAGTCTCCCGAGAAAGCCAGCCTTAGCACTGCCTTGTGCTCAGCCACTGGCTGGGAGCAGACCTTTCTGGCCAAATGCGCGATGGGTTTCAGCAGCTGGCTGTAGCCAGAAGCTGGGGCTCCTGGTAGCAGCAAGGACCATTATCACGGCCGCCTGGTTCACCCACTTCAAGCAAAGGGCGGTGAATCTCAAATTTTAATTCCTTACTACCCCTTTCACCAAAAAAGCACAGAGGAATATTCAACTCCAAAGCTCAGGAACTGGTAACTTCTGTAAGTCTATCTTTCTTTATTACTACGGCACTACAAATACTCTAAAGAGATATCAAAGTTAGTTTCTCCTGTTTTAGATGAGTACTTTTATGGTACAGTATTTTGAGGGGAATGAATTGGTTATATTTATTCATATTAGCAAGAAAGTGACATTTTTAGACAGGTTATTTGCCTAGTTTGGCCTTGAACTGGTGAAACTCCTGTCTCAGCCTTCCAAGCAGCTGGACTTCAGGTGTGTGCCACCACATCCACCTAAGAAAGCAACTTCTTTTTTTGGTACTGGGGATTGAACTCGGGTCCTTGTGAGAAAGCAACTTTTTTTTGAGGGGGGCGTATCAGGGATCAAACTCAGGTCCTTGAGCTTGCAAGGCAGGCAGTGGAACTACTGAGCTAAATCACCAGACCAGGAAGTAACTTTTTAAAGAATGTTTTTCTATCCCCTTGTAAACATATCCATAAGGAAATTCAATTTTCTTTTCTTTGTGGCACTGGGGATTGAACCCAGGGCCTTCACACAGAGCTATGTCTCCAGCTCTTTTTTATTCTTTGAGCCAAGGTCTCACTGAATTGCCCACGCTGGTCTTGAACTCGATTCTCCTGCCTCAGCCTCTCAGAGTGCTGGGATCACGGCATGCACCACCACTACATTAGAGGGTTGGTGGGGTAGCTCAGTGGTATAAGACTTATTTCACATGTGTGAAGTCCTAGGTTTAATCCCCAGCACCACAAAAACAACACAATTACATGGATACAATTACTGAGTGCCCAGCACACATTTTATATAAGTTAGGTATTGAAGTATACAAATGTAAGATACAGTCCCATAGAAACTGAAGATCAGTGCCCTATACTAAGCTAGAATGGCATGTGTTGACTGAGAAAGCAACTCATGGAAGCCAACGTGTGAGCTCTAATAAGGATGGCTAAATCCTAACCTATCAACTTTGTACCAGTTAGCTGATACTAAATATGGCATTTTTAATGTGCGAAGCTACTTCATCTGAGGAGTAGTGCTTGATCATTTTCTCACATAAAATCCCTTTAGCTAGTGGTATAAATGCATGCTTAAAAAAGATGTGGGAGAGGGCTGGGGATTTAGCTCAGTGGTTCCATAGCCTGCTTTGCAAGCACAAGGTCCTGAGTTCAATCCCCGGTACCAAGAAAAAAAGATGTGGCAGAGCACAAGGAAAATTACTGCGAAAGGCAATTCTGGATATGCTGTTTGTAATACACAGATATACATGGATGTGGGCCAGGGATTTAGCTCAGTGGCACTGTGTCTGCCTTGTAAGCACGAGGTCCTGAGTTCGATCCCTGGTACTGGGGGAAAAACAGAGATACACAGACATTCTCTTTAATTTAAAGCAACTTTTGCCTTCTAAGTTGATGTTTAAATATCCTGCTAGTGGGTTCTGTTGCTAAGAGGATCTTCCTTCAGCCTCAGGCACCTGTGTATTTGTTGAGTACCCAGCTGGAGTAAGTGCCGCAGACTCAGGAATGAAACTTCCGTGGGAGAGGTAGGTACTACCAGGGCTGGACACGGTCGGCAGTGATGTGCCAGACAGCAGTGAGGAGAGGAGGCACGGTCCCAACTCCGAGTGGGAGACACCACCGGGACGGTGATCAGAGGTCTCCGGGGGAGACAGTTAGGCAGAAACCCGAATGGAGCGAAGGAGGAGACCAACAGGCAGCATCGTGGGTGCCGGCTGCGTGGCAGGAAGACTGAGAGGCAGTGGTGGGGGACTGGTTACTCTATCTGCAGAGACTTGGGGTGGGACGCTTGAAATGATTCCTTCACATCGTAATCATTCTGGCAGCCGGATAGAGCAGACTGCAGGGGCAAGTGCGGAAGCCAAGACACCACTACTGTGCAGCTGCAACAGCAGGGACTGAGCAGCAGGGACCACCTCCTCACGGAGGATGTGCCTTTGGGAAGATACCAGCCCCAAACTCACGCTTTGGAGGCTTGAGCTGATAATGTCAGGCTAAACAGGAGATGAACGGGGATACACTATGTGATTCTCTTTACTTTCATATTTGCCTACTTTTTCATCATATTAAGTTAAAAGCCTTAATTCAGTATGAGGGAGCGTGATAAACCAAGAGTTTAGACACTATACCTACAGGTTAAGATGAGAACTTCCCAGCTTTCTGCAATTTTGCTTATTTTCAAGAAATACAAAAACACCTAAAACAAAGTACAAACTCTTTTCGAAACTACCCTATCAAGAAATGGGAATTTAGCTCAGGTGCAAGGTCCTGAGTTTGATCCCTGGTACCAAGGGGCGGGGGGAGAAACTGCCATATTAGTTTTCTCCACTAGAAAGATCAATGGTGAATGGATTACATAAAATCAGAAGGAAAGAATGGTTCATACCTTTGAAAGGTTAAGAGTACCGAGTATCTTACAAACGAAGGCCTGAAGCTGTCTTCCTGCTTCTGTCACTCACATCAACGTGACGAGTCACACCCACGACCGCCCTGCCAACTTCCCACTGCGGGGTGTCCACTCCCCACCCATCCCCACCCTGTGGTGCCCTCAAAGAGCCACCTCAAGACAGCATCATGAAATCAAGATCCACATCTAATGCACTGCTCCTAAGGGTTTTAGTCTTAGTTTTGTTCTTGTAGATGGGGGTCTCATTCTAGTTCAGGCTTGCCTTGAACTCACTACATAGTCCAGAATGGCCTCAAATTCACAGTGATCCTCCTGCCTCAGCCTCCTAAGTGCTGGAGTTACAAGCATGTGCACCACAGCTAGCCCCAAGTGTTTTGCATGGCATATTTAATAATCTAGGAAAAACTGCAGAATGTTTATAGTTAATATAGTCACATGCAATGGTTAACAAACAAGCTTTGATGACAACACACAGAGGTTCACACTTCTTGTCCATTTATCTGAGACCTTGGATGAGTTGCTTAATTTCAGTTACAAGGGCCCAAACAGTTCCCACCCTCACAGAACACCACACTGAGCACCACATGAGCTCCTCAGTGCTCTTCTCTGTAGTAAACAGTTCCCAGGAACTTGTAACTGACCGTGTTTTCTTACCCAAAGACCCCACTCCATATATCCGAGCCGGTTTCAGCTCCCTCTCAGCTCGGGCATATTTTGCTGCTGCTACCATTTTCATAGACTTGGTAATTTTCTGGATGTTTTTGATTGACTTTAGTCGTCTGGTAACTGGAAAATGGAAGAGGTTTGTTAAAGGAGTTACAGTAGCATTTGACTGGTAAATTTCATTGAAAGAGTTTTCAAAGTGCAGAATGGAATAGTTCACATGAGGCTATCTATAAACATCATTAAGCTAAACCAGTCGTAAACTAGTACTCATTAAAAAGGCGAAGTCCAGCTGCTATTTAGACAGGACGAGCAAACAGTAACATAGATAACAGTGCAGCACATACTTATATTTTTCATTACGTCTTTAAAACATTAAATGACATTAAAAGTCACCTTAACCACACATTCCATAACATTACTTTTATGTATATATAAATAGTATTAGTTTTATTTTGTTTTGTTTTTAGAGACAGGGTTTCATTTTGTAGCCCAGGCTGGCTCAAACTCAGTGATCCTCCTGCCTCAGCCTCCCCAGTGCTAGGATTACAGGTGTGCGCCACCACGCCCGGCTTATAAATAGGATAGATTTTCTAGTGATATCATTGTCATCCTATAGACCATAGAGTGGGAACAAAACTTTCTCATGTCACCACCTCATGCTTGTCTTTTCCAAAACAAGTCCAATTTCCCGCACATATAATGTAAATCCATTTCGTCAGTTGTGACCAATATACAGTGGTGTATTTTAAAAAGTCTTTTATTCGTCAAAATTTAGTTTTTCCTGATTCAAATATCAAGACAAATAGCATACTTACTATCTTTCAAAGTTGCCATATTTCGGACTTGGATCCTGAGAATAAAGGTTTTAAAAGTATTTCAGTTTTTCTCAAAAATAGCTTTACTAGATAAGGAAAAAATTCAGAATTACTTAAATGCCTTATAAAAATAATCCATCAAATACAAGATTCTGAATCTATAGTCTTATTTATATATTTAAATTCCCAATACTGATAAAGAAGGCCGGTATGTATCAAGGCCTCTAACGCCTTGACTCTAACACAAGCCTTTTGCTGAAGTCATGATGGCATCCACAAGGGCTCTATTTCTATTTTTTGTTTTATTTTGTTTTTTGAGACAGGGTCTCACTATGTAGTTGAGATTGACCTGGAACTCACTATGTAGCCCAGGCTGGCCTCAAACTCACAGCAATCCTCCTGCCTCAGCCTCCCTGAGTGCTGGGATTACAGGCATGTGCCACCATGCCCAGCAAGGGCTCTATTTCTACATCTATATCTTGGCTTAATTTCCAGGACAAAAAAGTTCTTCCCCTTGTTAGGCTATCAATTTATACTCAAAGTCATGGTGAGAACTGTCTAAAAAGCAACACTGACTTCCATAGCAACCTTCAACAATAAGACTCAGTTACAGCCTAGCTGACCACGTGTATGGGACTACACTTAGACAGAAAGTTTACTTTTTAAATTCAAATCAATCAATGTAATTAAGCAGCTTCTATGTTACAGGCACTGGTGAATAAGGCATCGTCTTAGACCATAAGAGACAAGTTATCATCTCATTGGCAAGGTCTGTGAAAATTCAGACCTATGTAAAATCTAATCAAACATTTGTCTATTAAAACTACATGCTAATGCACAAGAATAAACATGATCAGACTTAAATGTTAGTGAAAGATGAGAAGACCTTTGGTCTAGTGGGAAAGACAACTTCATAAAATCTTCAAGACCTTGAATCCATACATAGCACTTGTGCTGGCAGGCAGAGCATCATGGGAGATGTGAAGAGTCCATAATCTGTGCATATAGGAGGGCCGGAGGAGGGCCTTCTCAGAACTGGATGTGGTTTTGAAAGACAGTATCACGTTCAAGGAATTGTAAAAAACAGTACATAGTGCCACCTGCCTTGCCAGTACAAGGTCCCCAGTTCGATCCCTGGTACCCCCCTCCACAAAAAGGATAGGGAAGACAGACACAGGTTGTGCTTTATCATTATTATTATTATTATGTCCTAATAAAATTTTACAAATATTTACAAAGAACAGGCAATGGGACAGGCAACAGTTTGCTAATGCCCTCTTCTTGAGAACCTAACAACATCAATGTTGTTCTCTTTATCATAAATTTTATCAATTTAATGTAATACCCCCTAAGAATATTTGAATAGATTATCTTTGTTCTACCCACAATTAATTGGAAGAGAAAAATTTTTTTAAATTAATTTTTTTGGTACATTTAAGGTACACAATATGACATTCATCACTGGAAATTTGCACCTTTACATAATCCACCTTGGTTCTTAGTTTTTCCCCTGCCCTCCCTTCAACCCCTCCACCCCTCCCTATCTACAAAGACTGTTTCCATTTTTCCTTTTACTCATATTAATTCCATGCCCTTCTTTCTTTTCCCTACCCCTGCAACTTCCCCTTCCCCTTTGCACCTTTTCTTCCTATTTCACATCATCTATTATACATTTTAGTCCTTTTTTACACTTTCAGTTTTCAGGGACACTAGAGACATTTATAGCTAAATGGATGCATGTTGAGGCCATACTCTTAAGTGAAATGAATAAGACACACACGTGTAAATGCCAAATAGTTTCTCTAGTGTGACAAACTGAAAGTGTAAATCAGTGCTTACATATTATTTTAAATATTGAATATATTTAAATACTAAAAAGTAAATCAATTAAATACTATTTTGTAGGTTGTAGGCTTTGAAAAGAGTGTTTATAAGCCCACAATGCAATTTAGTTTTCAGATGGCAGTGACAAGATGAAACGAGGTTACAATGATGAAATTTTCACAGCATGGAGACGTGAGCTGCTGCTGCTTCCACACACAAGACAGCAAGAACCTGGGCCAAGCTGTGGGCAAAGGCATGAGAGCAGAGCTGAGAGAAAATTCTTAGGAAAGGAAAACAGCAAGACTGATCCAAGCTTTCCAATTCAATGACCCGAGTGGACGGTGCTGCCATAACCTACATAGAAAACTTGGGTGGGAAGGAACTCCCGGGAGATAATGAATTTTGAACAAAATATAGTTAAAAGATTAGAGGGTCAGTGGAAATGTAGGGGAAAACAAGCGGTTCTTAAGAGTTCAGATCCAGATTTGAGAACTATCAGTAACACTGTTGTTGGCGCTAAAAGCCCAAACCCAAACTACTTAACAACAGCGAGTAGAATTAGAAGAAGAAACAGAACGTTCCAGTTCTCTGAAGAAGCATTAGCCCAGTACTGAAATAAAGACACTGTAAGAAATGGAGACTAGGCTCCCATTGCTCATAAACAGATGCAAAAATACTGACCAACATATTAAAAGGAATTATAGCCAAGCCATAACCAAGTGGTATTCATGATAAAGTCTCTCAGAAAATTAGGAACAGTTTCCTCAGCCTGACAAAGAACTCTACACAAACCTATGACTTAATGTTGAGAAACTAGAAGCTTTCCTGCTAAGATAGGGAAGCAAGATTTTTCTCATAACAACCTTATTCAGTACCATCTTAGAGGTCCTAGCTAATGTAGTAAGTCAAGAAAAGAAAAAAGGTAAATAGACTGCTTTTTACATACAGATGCCTCTTGGTATCCAGTGTTTGGTTGTAGGACCCCTTGTAGATGTCAGAATCCTTGATGTTCAAGCCCTCATGTACAATGACATGCAGGCCACTGCGCTGGTACATACAGCTAGCTACACAGGAAGCCGAGGCAGGAACAAGGTCAAAGCCACCCTCGGTAGCTTACATCCTGCCATATACTTTAAATCACCTCTAGATTACTTATAATAATGTAAACAGTCATTATACTGTGTTCTTTAGGGAATAATGACAGAAAAAAAAAAGCATGCAGATATGTTCAGTACAGATGCCTGGGGGGTGCTTTCTGAGACAGTCTCATTATGTAGTAGTTTAGGCTGGCCTTGAATTCACCACGTAGCCTAGGCTGGACTTGACTCGTGGTGATCCTCCTCTCTCAGCTTCCTGAATGCTGGGATTACAGGGACATCCCCACATCAGGCTCACAGTGCAGATGCTTTTTAAAAAATGTTCTTGCCAGGGATTTAGCTCAGCGGTTCAGTGGCCTACCTTGCAAGCGCAAGGACCCAAGTTCAATCCCCGGTACCAAAAAAAAAAAAAAAAAAAAAAAATTCTTTATCTAATTGGCTGGATTTGCAGATATAGAACCTGCAAATAAGGGCCCAACAGTATAAGGTATGAACAGTTAAGAGTCTGAATTTAAGTGTACAGTTGACATTCGTGTAAATAATACCCTGTATATTTATTTTACAATTTAAAAAGCATTTAAGTTCGATCCCTGTATCAAAAAAAAAAGCACTTAAAAGGTGACATAAATACAAGATCTACACAAGGAAAAGTACAAAACACTGGTGAAAGAACGCAAAGATCTAAATAAAGAGGGGTCCCACGTTCATGGACAAGAAGCCTCAGCAACAAGAGAATAGTAACCAACACAAGATTCAATATGGTATTTGCACAACTGAGCTTAAAAACTTACGACTACATAAAAGCTACACCAAAGTCTTTACTGCAGCTTTATTTAGCCTGGCCCAAAACTGGCAATCACCAAAGTAACCAAGGTGCTCTTTGCTATGTGAATGAACAGAAAATCTGAGGCTCCCTGGTACATCCATACAACAGAATATTAGCAATAAGAATACATGTACTACCAACTCATAAAAAGACAAGAGAAATCTTAAATGCATACTGCTACATGAAAAGAAGCAGTCTCAGGCCTGGGGATGTAGTTCAGTGGTTCCACCGCCTGCCTCGCAAGCACAAGGCCCCAAGTTTGATCTCTGGTACAAAAAAAAAAGAAGCAGTCTGAAAAAAGCCATAATAGTTTTTATTCTAACTGTATGCCATGCCAGAAAAGATAAGCCTATAGCAACAGCAAAGACAGCAGTGGTTGCCAGGGACTTAGGGGAAGGGCAGACTTTTGAGGGTAGTGAAACTCTTTTGGATAATACTAGAATGGAGAATACATGTTCTTATGCCTTTGTCAAAACCCACAGAAATGTCAAAAAAGTGAACCTCAATGAAACTAGCAACTCTAGTTAGTAACAGTGTATCCCTACTGATCGGTTCCTTAGCCATACCACTATAAAGCAAGATATTAACATTAGGAGACTTCAGAATGGTAGATGGGAAGATGAACTCTATTAAATGCACAACTTGAAGTCTATGGAATCCAGTTTTTAAAATGTAGGTTCTGCAGCCAGGTGTGTGTGTAAGCCCAGCATCTGGGAGGCAGATTTTCAAGTTCAAGGTCAGCTCAGTATACAGATCAATTCAAGGCCAGGCTTGGTGATATCTCAAATAAACAAAAACTACAGCAAAAAAAATGCAGGTTATGAAATAATGTTGTACAATATCATTTTTGTGATCACATTTGTGTATAAAATAAGCCTGGAAGTTCATATCTAAAATAGTTTTTTTTCAATTGCTTCTGGGCCTTTTGGCTAAGATCAAGTGTAAAAGTTTTTTTTTTAAAAAAAAAAACCTCTTGGCTTAGTTTAATCCTATTATTAGGTCATAGAGAACAAAAATAAGGAAGCAGACTATATGCAAAATATTAGCTTTGGTTGTAAGAATAAAAAAAGCTGGGCCAGAAATTTAGCTCAGGGTGCTGTGCCTGCTTTGCAAGACCCAAGGTCCTGAGTTTGAGCCCTGGTACCAAAGGGGGGAAAAAAAGCTGGACGATACAGAAAACCGCTATTTCAGAGTACAGAGTACAGGACACAACTCTTCTACTAACATTCTTTTCTCATAATGGCACCTGAAAAGTAGCATCATTTTCAGGTGGCTTTTTCTGGCACAATGAATGACTTTTCCAATCCAAACACAAGTGTCTTGCTACAGATTATCAAAAGGAACAAATCTGAATTGTATACTGTGATTTGGATGAATGTAATGTTTTGGTTTCCATAAATATTCCAAGTGAGGAATACCAAATGGAAGCATCATCTGTGATTCTTTCTTTATTTTCTGAGACGAGGTTTCACTACGTAGTCCGACATGGCCTTGAGCTCACTCTGTACCGGTACCGGTGTGAGCCACCACGCCTGGCTTCACCTGTTATTCTTTACGCTGTGCACATGCTGTCATTGCATGTGTTTAGAAGAGCTCTTATTTAGCCTCCACTTAGCTCTAAAAATGACTGTTACTCCTTTATTTTTTATGTCTAATTTGACCAAGCAGGCCAGGCATGGTGGCGCATGCCTGTAATACCAGCAATTTAGGAGGCCGAGGCACAAGATCATCATGAGTTCAAGGCCAGCTTGAACTACACTGCGAGGCCTTGTTTCAAAAACAAACAAACCAATAAAAAAATCAAATAGCCATGAGCTGCCTGACCACTCTTTAGGGATAGCTCAATCTACTGAACTAGCCAGTGAGAGAGATTTTGCATTGAGAGGATAATGTTCTGAATCACTGCATCATGTCCTGGGAAACCCTTAGGTTATCTGACATAATGAGGGAGAATGAAATGAACTGCAGATGACCTGTGTCCACTATCTTCCTATAGCTGTCACCAGACATGAGAAAGGGCAGAGGGAGTCATGAATGATTCATCATTCAAAGACACTGGTTTGATTTTTGAGGAACATATAATGCTACAATACAGCATAAAAACGAATGAAGAAACAGTATTGGCAAATTCTTATGACGTACATTTTATTCGGATACTAAATCTCAGTCCGTCACCTGCCTTTACACCAGAAAGTGAGTGCCTCACACTTGTCCACGCCTTCCCAGGGTCCTGTCAGACAGAATACCCTGTATTTATGACCTTGTTTGCATTTGCTCACCAGACATATTGGATCCACATCTGCACTTCCCCCAGTATCCTGGGTTCTCCGCAGTTATTTACGTAACCCACACACTAACCCAACAAACCGTGTACTATTATTTATTATTAGGTCCATTTAAGAGGCGAGCAACCAGCAGCACAGACACTAAGTAACTTGCCCAAAGCCTCACGGGCAGGACAGTGGTAGCCTAAGTTTCTAAAAATACTAAATGATAGCAGTACTGCAGGTAGACGAAAAGGATAGAAAAAAGAGCTGATTTTTACTGAGCAGCAGTGCACGCATGACAGGGACTGTTTCCAGATCACTCTTTCCGAATCTATTCAGATTTCAGCACTTTCCTTAGAGCCCACTGGTGCAGGGCTGGCACTCAGCAATTGTCTGCTGAATGGTTAACTAACGGGGCAATGTACACAACCGAGAGTAACTACCAAGACTTAATTCCCATGAATATTCTTTCTCAGTACTGAGTGATTGAGGTACTAGGGACTGAACCCAGGACCCTCCACTAAGCTACATCCCCAGCCCTTTTCTTTTCTTTTGGTACTGGGAAGTGATCGCAGGGCCTCATGCTTGCCAGACAGGCACTGTGTGAGCTACATCCCCAGCCCCAGCAACCCTTTTAGAAGGAAAAAAAAAAAATCAGACTTCCAAAGTTTTATATAGATATCTCACGTTATATTTAATTTCATTACCCTGAAATTCTTAAAATATATTCTTCTTGAAATATACTTGCTGTAAATTCTTTGCATTAGGAAAGACCTATCTGAATTAACGCTTTAGAGCCCTTTTTGCAAATTAGGATACAAAACCTAGCATAGTGCTTAGGTGCTTAAAAAATCTTCTATATTGTAAAACCAGGGGATTTTGAGGACACGGCCTATATCTAATACTCCCCTTAGCACTGCATCTAAGTTCTTTCAGATTCTCTAGCATCGTAACATTTCATCCTGCTGTTCAGCACTACCCACAAACCAATTTTACCTGACTCTTCCTACGCTTCTAATACGCATTTTTGCCCAGAGAATTAATGTTTAAAATCATCAAAACTTACAGCACCCTTTAATGTCACTTTAGGAGTAATGCAGCTCTTCTTCCTGGGGATCTTGGGACAATTTCATGACCTTGCAGGGTAACTGCTCAGCATGTTTTGGAGATAGTGCTGGATGTCTTTCCCTTCCTCACCAACAGATCTTTAAATTTCCTTCTGCACCCGACCACCAGCCTATCAGGCACTTAATTTTTTTGGTTCACCTCCATTTCTCCAATACTCAGCAAATCGCCCGCTATAGAGTGCACACTGAAACGATCAGATCAGATAGTAAAGGATCACTCCGCCCTACCCTGGAGTGCTTCAGAGGGCATCGAGGACACACGGTACAACTCCTAGGCTTCTTCTGCTTCTCCTTCACCTTGCGGGCCTGCTAAGACTTCCCTGGCCTTGGTACCGAGTACGCAGAGCAAGCTGAGGAAGTATTTATGAGCAGGACGAATACAAGATTGGTCCAAGGGCTCAGTTTCGAGGTCCCAGGGGACCCTCCCAGCCCCAGCGGACTTGGCAAGACCTTGCTCAGTCCCTTGCGCGCGCCATTCCAGCTCCGGGGCCGCTTCCTGCGCCCAAGCGACCGGGGAATGCTCCGCCCTGCGACCCTGGGTCCGTCCTACACGCCCCAACCCTTTCTTCAGCCCATATGACTGAGCGTTTCCATCCCTCGCAATCTTCCCAACCCTCCTTCAAATTGCCATACCATTGCGGCTGCAAGGCCCAGGCCGACAGCCCAACGACGTTCGCCCGAGAGAACATGGTAGCAGCTCCCCTGAAGGTCGGGCAGACGGACCGCGTCGCGCATGCGCCCTTCCCAATCTCACTCGCGCCTTCAATCTCGTTTCCTCGAGCCCGAAGAAGGGAAGTTTCGCGAGAGTTGGTGACCGGCCTTTCCCGGTCCTGCCTTTTTCTGGCTGTCAGCTTTGTCCCGCCTACCTCCCCCGTCCACTTCCGCTTCCGGCCGGCGGAGTTCCCTTACCCCGAAAGTGGTCACCTCGGTAATTGAGATGGGGAAGTCAGATTTTCTTACCCCCAAGGCTATCGCGAATAGGATTAAATCCAAAGGGCTTCAGAAGCTGCGCTGGTATTGTCAGATGTGTCAGAAGCAGTGTCGGGACGAGGTAAGTGGGCCTGGGATGCCCCACGTCTCCGGGGGCCCTGCTGGAAGTCCAGGTTCGACTCCGGACTCCGAGGAGGCGCGCGTCTCGGGCTCCGGGTCGGAGGTTTCTGGGGTTTCTCCGCGAGTCACCTACTCTACTCGTCACAGCTGTCTTTTCGTGCCGTCTGCGGTCCTAGCGGGGCCCTTGCGGTCTGCGACACCTTTTTTCTTGATCGTTCTTTCCTCCAAAAGAATGAAATCAAAAGGTTTTGCATCTTTCCTGGAGGCGTGATTAGCGAGTACGGTGCAGAATGCCCGGGAATTAACAACAGCCATCGTCTCTGACTTTTGAGAGGAACAGGATGATTAGGAGTCACACCTCTTCGGAATCGAGTGAAAAAGGAAAACAAGACTCAACTAAAAAGTGTTTATTAAGCACTTACAACTCCTGGTCCAGAATAATACTATGCTTAAAATGGTGGACTGACCTAGAGTCAGAATCTGGTCCAAATAACGAAGCCAGGCGGCGCTGCTCAATAGCAATATGATCTCAGGCTAGTTGTGTTCTCTTTATTTACTTATCTGTAAAGTGGGAATGATATTTGTACCTACTGGTAAAATTGTTGAGTGTTACATGAATGCATTATATATAAAGTGGCGCAGAGTCAGATGAATCTCGAAAGGTTTTGTATATTGGGCTGTGGAGTTTGCACTTTGCCCAATAATGGGGTGGGTGGTGGAGCCCCGTTAAAGAATAGAGAGCAGGCCCCTTCACGGGGCATTTCTCTCTGGGGACTGCCCTGAGTGAGAGTGGAAGAACACTGAGGCGATAGGACAAATAATCCAGCGCTTCCTTTTTGATTTCTCTTTGTATTTAAGTCAAGGTGCTGTTCTCATACAGAAAAGTAGACACTGGTACAGTGAATGGGCACACGTCCATTACCTGTGTCTCAGCGTGCCCGGCCTGGTATAGCAGAATATAACAGAAACTTATTTTGGGGCTGGGGATGTAGCTCAGTGGTGCCACCGCCTGCCTGGCAATTTTGGAGGCTGGAAAGTCCTGGTTCAGGAGGCTGGCACGGTTGAATGTCCTAGTTCAGTCAGAGTCCTCTCCCTGTTCTGTAGACATAAGTTCCTCTGGAAACACTAAAATAAATCATGCTCTAGGGTCTTGTGAGGGCACTAACCCCATCACGGGGCTGTACCCTCAGGGCCTAATCTTAATGACTTACCCCGAAGGCCCTGCTTCCTAATGCCATCCCGTCCCAGTTAGAGTTTCCATATATGAATTTTGGGATTCAATAATGTCCTGATATAACACTTTTTTTTTTGCCATATGTCTTTGTTATTTTTCTCTCGTTGCTGAGACAAAATACCCGACACCCAAAGTTAAAGGGGGAAAAGTTTATTTAGCTCACCATTTATAAAGGTTTTAGTCTGTAATCAGCTGGTTCCAAAGCAGAGGGGCAACAGTTCTTGGTGGCTGGAAGACAGCAAAAACAACAAGAGACCTTAACAGCATCTTCCTGCCCCTTTTATCCAGACTACTTAGGGTGGGCAGCACTCACACCTTTAATCCTAGGGCCCTCTGGCCTAGCATTGCACCAGGAATCAGTCACACTCTCTAGATGTAGCTACCTCTGAAAAAACCTCACCTAAGAGCACACGAGGCTTTGGAGGGAAATCTAAAGGCAAGTCATAACACCATATTTCCTTTATTTCGGAAACATTTTGAACATCAAGATATTTTACCTCTTAATACTTAAATATGAACATAAAATCTCAATACTTTTGCTATGACTGCAGCATGGGTTAATATGTCATCAATATACAAAATTACTGAAAATCCCTCCATATTGTCTGATACAGATATATCGCTTCTATATGGCGAACCTTTTAGGGCTTTCAGTGATACAGTCAGCTGGCGGCAGCACACAGAGCACAGGTTGGCCACCACTGATCTGATACATACTTATTCACAGTTCCTTGCTTCCCCCAGTTGTTTTTTGTTTTTTGGTACTGGGGATTGAACTCGGGTCCTTGTGCTTGCAAGGCAGGCCACCGAACCACTGAGCTAAATCCCTGCCCACCCCAGTTGTATTTTAAAGCAATTTAAAAAAACCAAGATCTAATCAAAAGTCCTGAATTAGATTTAGTTGCTGGGGCTTTTTGTTCTTTTTTTTCCCCATTGAGTTTATTGGTACATTTTAGGTGTACAGTACAGTTACATTCATCATTGGGATCTTGTATCTTTACATGACAGGTCTTGGTTCTCATTTTTTCCCCATACCCCTGCCCTCCACCCACTCCATCCTCCCCTATTTACAAAGGCTTTCTTTCCATTTTTTCCTTTCCCCTACCCCTCCCACTTCCCCTACATTGTATGTGTGTGTATATATATATATAT